ATATCATCCTATATAGAGAATTAAATGAGCTTGTATAAAATATATACACAGAATTTGTAAATCGTCACTCGGGACAGACTGCCATGGATATGCTTCTACTATCGAGTAGAAGATAATTTGATTTAGACAACTTTGAAATCTTCTCTGATAGTTTTAGCAATGAATGTTCCAGGTTGAAGCTACATTGAACGCCCATGTGCAATGCCACCTATTTAGCATCTTTACCTGGAAACATTGCAGATATGGTGATTGAAACAATATCTATTGAGGGAATAGCATTGAAATCCTTGGTATTTCAGATGTTATTGGATTTGTGCGCATAAAAAATTTAAAAAATTATGTTATCAAATTGGTGCTGCAAAACAACTTCCAATGATTGGTCCTAAATCCTGTGACAACATTGAGGGGGCAAAGACAAAAAAAATTCTGAAATTTCACAAAATCCATCGAAAGAGGTCTTTTAAGCAGAGCAAATTTTATAGAAAAGGAAATTGTCAATCTAGAGGCCCTTGTTTTTATTTTTTTGCTACTGTTAACTGTTGTATTTAAAAAAGGAATAAAGTACAATGATCTAGAGAGGGAACCCACATACGGGGCCTCTCGGCAAAAAATAAGCTAACCTTGGTCAAGTATGCCTATACAAAAAATGAGGAGGGCTTATAACATTGCCCATTATAGAGATGTACAAAAAAAGAAATAAGAGAAAGGTCCGTTAAGAGTAGGAGTTTTGATGAGGAGGACCACAAAATGCGCAGATATACAAAAAGCGTAGATATACAAAAAGATGAGGCTGCGGTCAAAAAGCATGGGTTCTAAGATCAACTACGGATCCACGGCCTGTGCGAGAGCTCCATCCTTAGCCATTTGGTCCGCCAGGCCATTTGATTCCCTCCAAATATGCATCCATGAGACGGCTCTATCCATGTAGGCAAGAACAACACATGGCGGCCCAATGCCCAGCCAGAGCACCATAACAAATCTGAGCAAATTTTCTTCTACTATAATGCCCAATGCTCATCCTTTCAAACACGATTATGATACATAATTATTCCTATGGAAGCATTCAAAGATGATAGTGTTCGCATCCCCAAAAATGACTGAAAAAGAATCGTTTCTTTAATTTTTTATTTCATGGCGTCTGAGATTTTGGGCACCCACCTAGGGCCTGGGCGCTAGGCTGGCCACCTAGGGGCTGCCTAGCCTTTTTTGAAACATTGTCGTTTATTTCTCAACATTCAGGCCTTTATGTGTTTTCTTTTATCAAAAACCAAAAGTTAAAAAAATAGAAAAGGAGAAAAAGAGTCCATGTATCCCCTCTCCCTCTTGTGGTATATGTATTTTTTTAATGGCATTTTAAAGAAGCATACTGAAAGTTTTAAGTAGTATTTCCAAACAAGGGCCATTTTTGATAGGGGTGTCGAAGGCTGCAATCCCTTTTTTCAGCTTCCATGCTCCTCGTTGAACATGTAAGGGCTGATTGGCAGAACTTGGGCTTCCCACTCCCAAAATTTTCCACGAATCAAGGAGGCCCTTAATCATATCGTTCAATGGACTTCGTTCCCGAGCTAGAGTACCCTTATTAAGTGCTCTTGGGGGGCCCTTAATTCTAAGCTGGATAGATCCTAATCGCCATGTACTTTATCATTTAGTCCTAGACAAATTTGGATTGCACTCCTTTTATATTGGGATCGCTATCCCTTTAACTCACAGTGTACAGATCTCAATCCCCATTGCATAGATCTTCGTGCATCTCTCTTTTATGTGGTCTCGATCTTGATCCTGGATTTGACCTTGCTCTCGATTCCGATAACTATTCTCTTGACAGTAGCCAATTCACACACTAGTCTTCAAGAGTTCACAAAAATCTTTGACTTAGTTACATCCTCATGCGCCACAACATTGCTTCCACATTGTATTCTCTTCAAATGTGGTTGAGCGATACATGGATTATCTTAGAGAGAGTCTTAATTTCTTGAAACACATCATGTAGACACATGGTGAGATAGTCTTAATTTCTTGAAACACAACATGTAGACACATGGGCATACCACGTGCCCTATCTATTGACACTAGTGGAGACCCCTTTTTGATTCTATAGTCATGGATCGTGGCTTCATTTCATACTTTAAAGAGGGCATAGACCCTATGTTAGCTAACACACACACGTGTGTGTTTATATAATTATATATGTAGAAAATCACACACACATATATATGTGTGTGTGTGTGTATAATTTGTATGTTTCTTGGTAAGTAAAATGAACATTGTTTCCTTAGTTGATTAAATTGTTGAGTTTTTTCTAAACTGGTTCCTTAGTTGACTAACTTGTTGAGTTTTTTCTAAACTGGTCTTTTTGGCTGGTTTTCTTTTATTTTTTGTTATCTAGTATGTCATTCCTAAATTCGATCGGCCAACATCTTGGCAGGGCCTAGGTAAGCGCCCTGGGTGTCCTTGCTCCTAGGCAACTTGGCCAAGGGCAAAAAAGTACCCTCCCCCAAAGGGTCTTTCTTTTAGAAAGGGGGGAAAGGGTTTTCGAGACCAATCTAATCCCCCAAACCCCCCAAAAAGCGTAAGCGCCCTTTATTAACTTATTAAGGGCTTTTGGGTTTTGGGATTATATCATTGATTTTTTGCTACTCTAATGGAATTAATTCGGGGCAATTAATGGTTAATTTGAGGAATTGAGTTGTGATTTCTATTGATTATTTTTAGAATGATGGCTTAATTTTATTCTTTAGAAGTGATTTTGAACTGACCGTTGATGATAAAAAGGACCAATCTCGATGATATGTAGTACTAAATATGCAAGGGACCCTCACAAATTAGGGTTAGTTGCATGTTTTAGTTAGATGGGAGATTAATTATGAGACAATTAAGAAATTTGGCTAAACCCCACAAAAAATCTTAAGAAATTTGACTATGGATAAGTGCAATATGTTGTTTAATATTACACAACAAAGAGTTCGTGTGAAAAGGTGAAAAATATTGTGCATATCCCTTCATGTATGTATTTTGAGTTATTGGGCTATCATTGATTGAAATAAATAGACTATAAAGCCAAAAAAAAAAAAACTACGTTTGAAATAAATAGACTATAGCCAAGGTGCAACAAATTCCTGCCCCTAACCCCCCACCTCAACCCCAATGCCCCTCCTTCCCCTGGGTGGGGGGGCAAAGGTGTTTCTGGCGCTTGCTTATGTGGCCAGGACCCCTATGCGGGCACCTCCACCTTCTCGAACATTTAGTATGTCTATATGCTATGAGGCAGTCTCAACTTCATTCAAACTTGGCAATGTGTGATACTCAGATTTTGGGCTTCATTTTACTGGTTTGTTGGGTAGTTTACATTTATGGCCATACATGATTTGGTTATTAGGGTCATTAACCTACTTGGTTATTAGGATCGTTTATTTGTTGGTTCTTGGATCTTTAAGTTGGTCATCTTGAAAGAGTGCTTATTGAGTGAATGAAGATTTAAAATGGAATGTATGAGTCAAAGCGGATAGAAAATGTTTGTTTATGATGGACAGAATGGCTGCGATTAAGTGAGGCTGGTAGTAGATAAAATCAAACTTCTTTTGAAGCATTGGGAAGATCTAGTGTAATCTTGTTATGCCACTATTTTAATTTTTGTTTTCTCTTTCTCCACTTTGGCTTTGGTGTCAATTGTCATTGAGGTTGTAGGCAACATAAACTTGGATTGTTGTGCAACTGAAAAAAAGTAGGATATTTGTAGCATGCACTGTGTACATGTGAAAGAACCTGATTGCTCAACACTTTGATAATATCGGTCTAAGTGTGTTTGATAGTGGACTTGAGTAATTATAGATGTAAGTAGAGTGGATGAAGCACGGTGGTGGGGCTTACCATCCTTAATTATGGGATTGATGGTTTTATTATGTCAGGCTAAAGTGGTTGTCCTCTTGTGTTTGCTAGCCGAATATTGGATCCTGATTTTTTGTGGTTTTACATTTGGTTACTGGAGCATCATGGAGTTGAAAGGAAAAAACAAACGACACTCATGCAATTCCTAATCAACTGGTCCCACTTTAATAAATGCTCTTGGCTACTATGGTTCTAACTTGTCCTGGCTTGAAGAATGGAGGTAAATAGTTGCTGGATTGGTGTTGCATGTGAGAAATGGTGCATTAAAAATGATTAATGTGTGCAATTCCTACATTGGTTGCTTATGGATTCACTAAGATGTATTCTTATATTTTTTAATTTGAATCATGGGTCTGGATGAATAATGGAAGATGTAGTGCATCATCTACATATTGAGAAAATGTGGTGCGTTATTTCACCGAGGCTTTGGAAAGAAAGGGATGACAAGATTTCTGAAGGACAAGATTTCTGAAGTCTTAAAACACGCATGGTTGTTTTCTAGATTAGGTGGCACCATACAATTCAGATAGCTGTTAATATTCAAGGGAGTAAGAAGGGATGAACTAAACCATCCAGAAAGAGAAGAGGGACAATGGATTTCTTTTTCCCATTTATTCTGTTTGATCTGTAGAGCTAGTGAATGTTTGTGAGATTCTTTCTCTGTTGGGTAGGATTTAAGGAATCTGGAAGGCCCGTTTCTTCCTAGCTTGTTTGTCTTTTGTTTGTGCATATGGTCGCAACAAGGTATATTTAACTGCGCTTTGTTTTTTTTGGCTAGACTAGCCTGGGCTTTGGGGAACCTTCCTCTTTGTAATACTAATATATTTAACTGCTATTCTTTCGCTACAATCTATTTATTGGACAGCTTTTATATTGTTATTTTCTCTCTTAATTGGCTTTTAGCCTTTTGTTTGGCCTGCTCACCTCTTGCTGGATATTTAAGCTAGTAAATTTTTGCATGTTTTTATTTCGAGTTCCTTTTGGAGTTTTATTTAGTCTAACTCTTCTTGTATTTACCATTTGCTGCACTATTTACATTTTATAAGACCCTTGGAGATTTATTTAGTTTGACTCTTCTTGTATTAACCATTTGCTGCACTATTTACATTTTATAGGACCTGTAGCTGAAGATATGTTTCATTGGCAAGCAACAATCATGGGTCCTCCTGATAGTCCATATGCAGGAGGAGTATTTCTAGTTACTATTCATTTTCCACCAGATTATCCATTTAAGCCACCTAAGGTAATCTATTAGCTCAATGGTTGCTATCTCAAAGAAGTTCCTCTTTTTTAGTTGCAGAATTATGTCTGGGACCTATAGCAGGCTGCTTATGCATGTTTTTGCTAAGATTTCTCTGCATTTGGTTCCCTTCTACCAATGCATTCTTTCATGAACCTTAGCTGCTTGGTGATGGTTGACAATTGAACATTAAGCTGGCTTGGTTGACTTGGTTTCAAATTGCATCCTTCATCTATTAACTAAAGGAAAAAGTTTATATAAGGCTGCAACCTTATACCCTCTGTGGCCTTCATACCAAAGTTTAAACCCTATGGTTCCTTTGTAACCATCATTGTATGTTATGGATTTCCAGCAAGGTATTCCTATCCTAAAAGCCTTAAATCAAGCCCTAAAAATTGTTTCCCTTGTCATACTAAAGCCTTTCTCATTGGCCTATCTAAGTCCTACTACTTTTAGGCCCTCTGTCATCCATTCCAACTCAACATAGAGATTCAAGACTTCCAAAGCCCTGCTGTCCTAATCATTCGAGGAAGCTAAAATCCTTTAGAACAACTAATTTGGACCTTATAAAAATTCCCAATCATACACAAGCCCTATCCTTTTACACCACCATGTGTGTCACACATTCATTTTGGAGCCAAGCTCCCTTGGTCTTACATCTGTTTCCTAAAACCTAAAACCAATCCCCACGTACTCAAAACAAGCCTTTCCAGTAGCCCGTCTAAGTCCTACCCATTTTTGGTCTTCTATCCTCTCGTCATAGTGAAAAGAAAACCTCAAGACTTCCAAAACCTATCCCAATCTTTGTAGGAACCTATAATTAATCCTAACGTAAGTAGAATTCCCCTACCCAAAACCCTTTCTCTCTACACCCACCTCACATGTCAAGCTCGTATAGGAGCCATGCCCCGTCTTCCTACATTACTTGTGGAGGAGGCCCTTAAGGGGACGAATTTAGACGCTCTAAGGGGTGGCCGAGAGCACTGGGTGGGGGTTTTGGGGTGTTTTTATTTTTTGTTTGGGAAGGGGGGGGGGGGGGGGTGTTGTGAAAGAAAGGGAGGGATGATTCTGTGGTACAGTTCTTGGTCATCTGATTTTTCTCTTGCTTCTACAATCCTCAATCTTGATTGACATTTTCTGGCATGACCTGCTTTTTACTGCACCCTGTGTAAAGTATCATGTGATCCTTCCTCACAAACAGAAATGCTTTTATGTGTTATTTTTCATAAACTATAAGGAGAGTTTTGATGATGCAAGTTTGTAAGGCAAAGTTGTGGGGGTTGACAGTAGCTGCAACCATTTGGAACGAGAGAAATTCTAGGATCTTTGAGGGCCATTTTAACCACACTCAAGCACTCTTCCACAAGGTTACTTCCTTAGTAATCTTTTGGGCCTCAAATCCAAGGTCTTCTCGGGTATCTCAGCGAACTCCTTCCATACACACTGGCAATGCATCCTCAAACATAGGCCTCGAAAACCTAGAAGAGCTAACAACTGGTAGCCCCCACCTGAAGGCACCATCAAGCTCAATTTTGATGGCTGCTCTATTGGGAATCCCGGCCATGCAGGGGCAGGCGGGGTTTTCAGTGATCATAATAGCCAGATTCTCCTTACTCGGAATATCTGGGTCGCCATGACTCACAACATTCCGAAGCTTCGGCCCTGCTCTTTGGTCTTAAATCTTTTAATAGAGATTGGGGCACACAACTACTGGTGGAAGGAGATTCAAAAAATGTTATAGCATGGGCTAATGGGTCTACGACACCACCTTGGTACCTAGCATCTATTTTCATGAGATTGCTAATTTATATAGGGATATGGACGTCTTATAGAGGCATAACTGGAGGGTGTCAAACGAGCCAGCGGATCTGTTAGCGAAAAACGGAGCTAGGAAGACACCTTAGCTTTGCCTGCAGCTACACCTCGTTTTTGGATTTGAACACCAACCACATTCTTTTTGATCTCGTTTTCTTTCTACTTTCATTGTACCCTTCCCTGTTAAGGGGCACCTGCATGGGGCACTTTTATAAGCCCGTTTTGTAACTTCATACTAAGAGACTCGCTCTCAGGGTCCTCTCGTTTTTTTGATTCTCTTGTAATGTTATTTCAGTAATATAAATGTTTAACACTTCTCAATATTTGGGTGGGGGTGGCAAAAACATATGTGAGATTCCCTTGACCACCTCAACTGTCAATGACCTGTGTTTCTATGCCTCACACTTTTTGATTTGAGATCTTGGAGGATTATGCAATTTCTTCCCTTCATGACTAACCACTATCTCATTAGCCTTCTTTTGATTAAAGTATTCTTATCTTCCTATGTTCCATGGCTGGATTTGTGAACACCACCTCTTTCCCTAGCTTCCCTTTCCCCTCCCATCACATAGCCATGTTCTCAGCTACTCTGCTAACTATCGATGTCATTTTGAGCTTATTTCCTGCACCCCTCTTGGGTACTTAAAAGATCCGAGTTCAACTCTCCTTTCCACTTAATCCAACCCCATTTGGATTCCTTCACTCAGACGAACACCTGCTTGTTTTTTACTGACATTCTGAAAATAGTACCTCTTTGGTTCAGATTCAAGCTTCCACAATGTTTGGGTGGGGGTGGCAGAAACATATGTTATTTTTTTTTCGTTTTTTTGACTCTCTTGTAATTTTATTTCAGTAATATAAATGTTTAACACTTCTCAATATTTGGGTGGGGGTGGCAAAAACATATGTGATTTTTTTCGTTTTTTTGACCCTCTTGTAATTTTATTTCAATAATATAAATGTTTAACACTTCTCAATATTTGCGTGGGGGTGGCAAAAACATATGTGAGATTCCCTTGACCACCTCAACTGTCAATGACCTGTGTTTCTATGCCTCACACTTTTTGATTTGAGATCTTGGAGGATTATGAAATTTCTTCCCTTCATGACTAACCACTATCTCATTAGCCTTCTTTTGATTAAAGTATTCTTTTCTTTCTATGTTCCATGGCTGGATTTGCGAACACCACCTCTTTCCCTAGCTTCCCCTTTCCCCTCCCATCACATAGCGATGTTCTCAGCTACTCTGCTAACTATCGATGTCATTTTGAGCTTATTTCCTGCACCCCTCTTGGGTACTTAAAAGATCCGAGTTCAACTCTCCTTTCCACTTAATCCAACCCCATTTGGATTCCTTCACTCAGACGAACACCTGCTTGTTTTTTTACTGACATTCTGAAAATAGTACCTTTTTGGTTCAGATTCAAGCTTCTTGTGAGTCATGATAAAACTACTGGGAAATGTGCATTGCCTTCACAACTCAGGAGTGCTAACCCTATCAGAGGTTTGTTTTTGCACAACCACCTAGATGCCACATCTAATTTATTGGCGTTGGCTGAATCTTCATTTCCATCACTCACAATTCGTTCTCTGTTGTCGCTTGACATCGTTCTTGATGATGCACATTTACATTCGACAGATATCTATGTAAAGTGCCTAAAAGGTTGTTTCTTACTAACCTCGTTAGCAAAGCTAAATTGCCTGTGTGTGTGTATGTTCTGTTTGTGTGTGCGAATGTGTGTGTTCGCATGTGTTTTTGTGTGCATGTCGTGTTTGCGTTTTACTATATATGTTACTCTAAGGTTTACATCTTCACAATATGTTAATGAAAGAAAGTAGAATTTGCTGCGAATAATAGCTTTTATGCATGTTTGTATTACTTCTTTGAAGTGTGTCGAAGGAAACTGCTTTATACAGTAATTGCTTGTCCTTATACAGGTGGCTTTCAGGACCAAAGTTTTCCATCCGAATATTAACAGTAATGGCAGCATTTGTCTTGATATCTTGAAGGAGCAGTGGAGTCCTGCTTTGACCATATCAAAGGTTTGACGTTGCTTTTCTTTTATTCACTTCTTATCAATCTACTTATTACTGTTTTAGTCACTATCGAATAGTTTAGACACTGTAGACACTGAGTGTCCCTGTTCACAGAGGCAAAAAATACCCCAACAAGAGTTGAACTTATAGCCTTATGCTTTAAAGCCACATACTCTGAACACCAAAGATTGTAAGCTGTATATGATAATATATTCAAATTTAATTTATCAATCCAAGTTTAACAAAGAAGACTTTATTTTGTTAAATATGAATTTAACATTAAGAAACAAGTCATTTTCTTCGTAGATAAGAGTGTATGGTTTGATTCTCTCTATGAGTTTGGGCGGGCCATCTCACTCAGTGGAAACCCATCTCACCAATGGCTCTTTCTCCACTAGTTGAAACAATCCTCTCCCTTTCTACTCTACAAACCGGCAAAAGAGATTCCCGAGTTACTCTTTTTAAGATTTTCTTCTTGAAAAGGAACTTGACAAAGAGGATGTGGACGACATCCCAGCAATTATGTGCTGAATCATTTGGAATCTATGCACTGGGAAATTATTTAAAACTGGATCTTAGCGAGCCTATTAGCTTTTGAGAGAAATCCTGTCCACATTCAGGCAGATGCTGCACCTTGCACATCTGGATGGGTGTGGTATATACCCTAGCGTGTAACTATGTACCTTGTTAGCGGAAGTTGTATGTCTTCACCTGCTCCTGGTTCATGATGGAATCCATTGAATGCGTCATGCACATGAATAAAGAGCAACCTATACCCTTTACATCAAACTTATTCAATCAATGAGCGATGCAAGATATTTTTCAAAATTGGGACTTTTGGTCTAGCTTGTGTAGCCAACGAGCAAAGCTATGCGTGAGCGCTTTGAGTGCTATGCTAGCACTAGAAACTACAAGGGTGCATTGGAAACCTCTCTCTGTGATTGGAAACCTCTCTCTGTGTTTAGATGAGTCCACTCTCTTACTCTTTAAACAAACAAAAGGTTAGGCAAATGAGTTTCTCTCTTAAGAATCAACAGCAAATGGAAAAATGGACCCTTTTTTGTGTTTTGTTACCCTTGGTGAATATATATATATATATATATATATGTTATGTTAGATGCTCACACTATAGAGCACGTTATAATTCTATTCAACAAGTTTTGGACAGTTTTGGACACTTATATAACCTTGTCTTGTAATACAATATTTTTTAATAAGGGTATTTTTGTTCATTAAGAGGGGAATGACATCATCTACATAGGGTATGGCGTCACCCACATAGAGCACACTAGTGGTATTTAATACTCCATGTGCGTGATGTCACATCCCATGTGGATGATGTCATACCCATGTGGATGATGTCATACCCTTTCTAATGACCAAAAATACCGTTACCATAAAAAAGCTCCATGTACAAAACAAGAGTGTATAAGTGTCCAAAATTTATTGAGTACAATTATAAAATGTTCTATAGTGTGAGCACCTTAACATAACCATATATATTATAGGGAAAAGATGTTGTGCACACAGGTGCGTACTGCTACAGTAAACGCCCACGACCCATATTGAATCTGGGCCGATCTGACGCTCCATGATGTTTGATAGCGTTTGAGTTTTTTATTTTTTTTTACAGATCCAAATCACTTAAAATTTTAGGCGTGTGTTTTTCTCATCAAGGTATACCTAATAAAAATATAAAAAAAATAATTTGCGAAAACAAATTGACAAAAATACCCCACAACTTTTCGGGGGTATTTTGGTGAATTTATTTCATATAATGTTTTTTGATATTTTTCGTAGATTTGGCTATTTTTTAAGAACACACGTTTAAAATTTCAAGTGATTTGGATTTGTAGAAAAAAATTTAAATTAAAACACTATTGACATCTGTGATAGTTAGATCGGCCACAGAATGCCCCAAATTCAATCTGGGCCATTCGTGTATGGGCGTACAGCAGTGACTCCCATAGAAAATTATGAGATTAGCCCACTAGCTCACATGAACATAGGAGCCCAACGGCCCAGATTGAATCTGGGCTGATCTGACGGTCACGACCTCATTTCGTTTTTGAATTTTAAGTTTTTTTATAAAGATCTAAATCACTTGAAATTTTATTTGTCCATTCTTCTCATCAAGACGTACTTAATAAAAATATTTAAAAATAATTTGCAATAAATAAATAAATTGACCAAACTACCCCCAAAATGTTTCAGGGGTATTTTTGTCAATTTATTTTTTGTAATATATTTTTTTTGATAATTTTAATATATTATCCTATTTTTGAAGAACACACGCCTAAAATTTCAAGTTATTTGGATTCGTAGAAAAAAAAAAATTAAAATTAAAATACGAAATGAGTAGTCACTATTTGATCTGCCCAGATTCAATTTGGGCCATTGGGCTCATATGAACTCATATTTTCATATAAGCTAGTGGGCTAACCTCAACATTTTTCATATATATATATATAATATGGTTTGTCTAGAGTTAACATCCCCTCAAAATACAAATGTTAAAGTTAGACGGGGTTGTGATAAGTGTATTTATCAAAAAGATCATTGTTTTTTGTTTAAAAAATTATTTTAATAGGTAACTTAACCATTAAGCAAGGGTAAATTTGAAATTTTTACAAAAGTACAATGGTATTTTGGAAGTTAGTGTCCTGAAAATTTATTTGTAGAGTGCTCTTGTCCTTTAGTAAAAATTTCAATTTTACCCCTTATGGAGATGACAAAAATACCCCTTGTCTTAAAGTGATATTTACAAAATTACCCTTAATGATGAAGATATCACAAAAGTAATTTTTTTTTTAAAAAACCCACAAAGTTATTAAATTTACCCTTCACAACTCATTCGATCATTAACCTTTGTAATTTGAAAGGTTGTGAACTTTAGATTGTCCTATATATATATATATATACGTATAAAGAAACGTCTCCAAAGAGATGATTTATTTTTATTACAAGGAGGTCATAATCACTCTTATCCTTTGGATTTCAAATCAGGTGGTTGTGAGCATGTCATTGATTAGATTGAAAGTTCTAAAAAACTTATCTCCTATTAGAGCTACCCCTAAGTTCTCTCGAATGTATTCATTTGGATTTCTATCTCTTCTTGTCTTGTTTCTTATCCATCTCAACATTATCATCTCAGCTACACTCATCTTATGGGTATGATGTTTCTTGACTGCCCAACATTCTGTCCCTCATAAAGCAACATTGGTTTTATAGTTGTCCTATAGAATATCCTTTTCAGTTTCATTGGTATGCAGTGATCATATAAAACTCCAGTTTCATATCTGCATTTCACCCATCTAGCTCTAATTTTATGTGTGACATCTTCCTCAATTTCTCCATTTTATCGGATCAGCGACTCAAGATATTGAAAATGCTCCCTTTTTTATTTTTCTTGGCCGTCAATCTTAACTACTTCCTCGTCTCTATCCCTATTATTACTAAACTTGCATTCAATAGACTCCGTCTTAGTTTGGCTAATTTTAATACCTTTAGATTCTAGAGTATCCCTTCTGAGTTCTAACTTTGTGTTAACATCGCTTTGGCTTTCATTGATGAAAACTATGCCATCCGCAAAACATACACTATATATATATATATATATATATATATATATTAGACAGTGATGATGCAATGGTTCTATAGTAATACAATGAAACAATCTTAAAAAATCATGTTAGGTCCATTTGTTTGACCTCAATTCTTAAATATACATTCTTTTCATCATTCAAGTCTTTTTTCATCTAATTGGGGTTGGCTACACAAATCCTGGTCCGCCATTCTACTCTACTAAGGGCCATACCCTCAGTGAAGCCATACGTCTCCATATCTTTTCTCACTACTTTCAACCATGTTTTGGGGCCTATCTCTTGCCCTAGTTTAGTTTTCCACTTGAACTAACTTGCACCTCCTAATATGTTTTGTACTGGGTTTGCACCATATGAGGCTAGCCCACCTAAGTCTATTCTCTTTCTTCTTATTGACTATTGGTGCCACACCTAAATTTTCTTGAATGTACTCATTTCGAATTCTATTATTTCTTGTCTTGCCACTCATGCATCTCAACATCCTCATCTTCGTGGCACTTATTTTTATGGGTATATTGTTTTTTGACCACCCAAATTTGGTCTCACAGCTGTACTATAGAACTTGCCTTTCAGCTTCATTGGTATGCGGATCACATCAAATTCAGGTTGCGCGCATCTTTACTTAACCCACCTAGCTCTAATTCTATGTACGACATCTTCTTCAATCTCTCTATTATTTTGGATTATTGACCCAAGATATCAAACATGCACGCTTTTTGGTATTTCCTGGCCCTCATTCTTAACTACTTCTTCGTTTGTACTCCTATATTTACTAAAATTGCATTCCATATATTGTCTTAGTCCAACTAATTTTAAAACCTTTAGATTCTAGAGCATCCCTCTAAAGTTCTAACTTTGTGTTGACGTCGTTTGGATCCCATTGATCAAAACTATGCCATCTGCGAACAACATGCAATATGGTACCTCATCATGTAGGTGCCTATTTAAGTTATCTATATCTAAGACAGAGAGGTATGGACTCAATGCTGATCCCTGATGTAAACCACTTGTCACTAAAAACTCAGTCGTCTCCATTGTACATATCTCTCATCAAGTCGATGTAGTGTTTGGAGGCTCCATTCTTTTCCAACACCTACCAAATCAAATCTCGAGGTACTCTTTCATAAGCTTTCTCTAGGTCAATAAAGACCATGTGGAGGTCTTTTCCCTTCACATACACTTCTCAGTTAGTTGCCTAAGTAAGAAAATAGCCTCGGTTGTTGACCTCATGGCAGCCTTATAGGCCTTTACATGATAAAGAAAGAAAGCCTAGCTCAAAACCTTAGTTCCCTACTTCAAACTTGAAAGCTGAAGAGCCCAAAAGATTAGAGTTATTTCACAACGATAGAGACGAAGTTCGGGTTATCTTTTCTTTGAACCTTGTCAATGATTGAACTTACAGAT